TTCGTGGTGAGCACTCCATGTTGGAGAGTGTGACTTGAGGGTCACCACTAGCAAGAGGACCGGCGGCAACCTTGAGCTAGTCTCAAGAAGGAGTAGCTGGTTGGCAAGCCACCAAACCTCGAGATAAAATCACCGTGTCAACTTTTTCATCCTGTTGGTTTGCTTACTCCCAACACAAGCTTATATTTACTTGTTCATATATTGTGCTTGTGTTGTTGCTCTTGTGTAGCTAGCTTGCTTGTGTAGCATAGTTGTATCTCCCGTGAGTAACTAGTTGGTTTGTGTAGCCTTGCTAGTTAAATTACTTAGTTTGTGTAGCTAAGAAATTATTGAGCTATCTAGTTTGGCTTGTGTAGCCTTACTATTAAGTAGTGCTAGTGAGCTTAGGCTTTGTGCGCTTTGCATAGTAGCACATGTAGGAGCTGCACGGTTACTTGAGTATTAGTTGCATAGGTTTGTGTGATCTTATTGACTAGAATTGTTTAGGTGAGCTCTACCTAGCCCGACACCTTAGTTGCTCATATTAGGATTTTTGTAAGATGCTTAAGAATTTATATAGAGGGGTGTAATATTGGCTACATTAATAGTTTTAATTTTGTTTTTGTTTAGGTTAGCCAGCACGTTTAGTTTTAAAAAGGACCATTCAACCTCCCTAGTCCGCCATCTCAACCTATCAAGTGTCTATTAGCATTATCCCACGAAATGCATCACATTATGGTAGGTGTACATGATATACAACAAACACTAATAGAGCCAGCTAGCACACATGCAAGTTCAGACTGGATTATTAATGAAATAGATATTACTTTGGCGACATACAATGTATCCACAGTTTGCCTGACAATTGACAAAGATGTTGGCATATGCAGGATAGCAAGTTTACGAGAATGGATGAGCTGAGAAATTGCTGGACGGTGGTACATATGCCGCGAAACCTATGCAAGTGTAGTGCTTCATAAAAAATGTAACTGACACTGACCAGAAAAAAAAACGGAGGTCTTATATTCTTCGTAAGATAATCAAATGGGCAGTAGATTTACAGTCAGTTCATGCACAAGCTCTAAGAAATCTGCGAGACAACCAAATGGGCTGTAAATTTACAGTCAGTTCATGCACAAGCTCTAAGAAATCTGCGAGACAACCAATGAGCCATGTGTGAATGATTTAGTATATGTCTACAGTAACTGTTTTATGAGTGGGCTATTAGTTGAATATAGATGATGTGGTCAAAATATAAAGCTTGCTGCTGGCTATATTATTAACTATGCTGTTACTATCACAGCCCCCGCCCATTGTCAGAGAGTAGCTGGATTCGCTGACATTTTTCTTTTCTTTTTAATTTTCCATTCCGCGTGTTAGTTGAGAGTGGGCTATTAGTTGAGAGCATCCAGCGTGTTGTACAGAAATCGAGGCTTCAAATATCACTTCAGAACCTGGTAGTGTGTTGTATGATTTCTGCTACAGTAGGCAAGCGCCAGAAGTATGGCGCCGCGTTGCGACGCCCTGGTGTCCGACTAACGTCTTTGTAGTGTAACCAGTGGCACATGGAAGAAGTTATTTTCAGTACATATGGTGAATATGATCTGTTGATATATATGAAGCAGAAAGGAAGTTACATTCTTATTACGAAATCATATATGGGGAGAGTCAAATGTGCTCCATAAAAGGTGGTATATACAGCAAAAGGACGCAACTATACAATAGCCCTCTCCGGTTAACGCTAAGGGCTCATGCGAGTAAAGAGAAAAGAAACGGACACAGTAGGACAATGCAGAGGGCATCCTGTGAGAGAGATTTGCTCAGGAGGTGTGCGAAACCAACGCGAGATAGAGCGCTAGAGTGGAGATTTTTTCATTGTTCACCGAGTTAAATAATGCTCCAGCTGCATCGAGCTATGCCGTTGGACAAGCGCAGAGCCCCTCGGCTTCTATTTTTAGCAGCACTGTCAGTAGGAGTACTTGTTTCGGTCAACATGCAAATTGACAAAAAGCTGCAGCCAGTTTATCGGAGTTTGCATGCTTCCGCGCCGCGTGAAGTTCGCCAATAAAAAAATGTGCGGAAGAGTCGAGGCATGGACCTAGAGAAAAAAGCAAAAAAGACAAAAGAAAGAGAAAAGAGGCCCAGAAAATTAAGTAAAAATGGCCTGATGGTCATACAATAATTTACAGGTAAAACACTTCATCTATAGGCAGCGCTGTAGCATGACGTCTATATATTCCCATCTACCATTGTAGCACTGCCAGCGCGTCCAGGTCCAGGCATAAATCAAGACGAAAAAAATGGGAAAACATGGGAGAAAGCAACATAATGGGGATCAACAGAAGAGAAACAAAGATAGAAGAATGTGCCCAGGGAGCATCAACGTAGAGATCCTCGAGGTATATAGCTACGGATCCTTTTCAACATAGAGATCCTCTGCATCACGTTTGTTGCATCTGCAAAAGGAAAAAGAGTATTGCATCTATATGCATGTGTGTTTTCCCAAAAGCTACTTCATTGTATCGCTTGGGCCTCAATTGATAGTTAAAACGCATTTCATGATATTGGTTTTCATTTACATCAGTATAAAGTACTTTTACGTCAAAGTGTGCATAAAGTAACTGAGTCTAGACAACAACAAAAAATAAATTATGTGACAACTGAAAACATAAGGATAAGTAGCTTTTATTACTTCCTATGATAGTAGTTGAGTTTTGTGCACCATCCTATTGAATTAACTCATGTTACATCCTATCGAATTAACTCAAGAAGTAAGATCTAAAAATGTTTCATTGTTAACCCCATTGTCAGCAATGCAACAAAATTAAGCATCCACGGATGAAAACAACACATTTTTATGTTGACAGATACATAAGGCTGTACCCAAAAAATGTCCCTTGATTCAAATGAAGAATAAAAGAGCTTGGCATAGAAGAAAAATCTGCTCATAGCTCCCTACCTCCATTGTTAAATTTAATTAGGCTAATGACTATAATTAGTTGCAGTTATGAACAGAATAAGGAAACAACAGACGTCGTCATTTATTTTGAAAATCTCATAGCATAACAAAAAAAATGCCAACAAAGTAAATAAAAGTTGGGCATTACATCTCACAGGCCACATATCCCTGCACAAAATTGGCAGGCTTCATGAGAAGCCAAATGCCCAAACCAATAGATAGTTCAAGCATATTTTATCTGTTGAATAAGTTGAGCTAAACTTCACAAGTAAAAATAAATATATATTTTCCATATACAGGTGTAAGGAATAAAAGAAGAAAGAATATCAGTAAATCGGTGTTAAGTCACTTGAAGCTACTTCAGGTTATGAATAGTTACATTTTATAAATACAGATTATGGGATGTTACTTCCTAGTTCCTATATTATGTAGTATATTGATAAGTTACTTCTTATATCATATAAATTAGCGACAAGTTATTTACTTTGTCATGTGAGATAGTGACAAGTTACTTTCTCTAACATGTCACTTACTCAGTTAGAGATGGTTACTATCCCTAACTATTGTATTGAGAAGTTACTTCCTCTGTTGTGCAAATTAGTGACAAGTTACTTCTTTGTCATGAAAATTATTCATAGATTACTTCCTTATTCACATAAATAGAGACAAGTTACTTCTGCATGTCATATATATTACTGAACTTTTCCTTACATATCATATATTAACTAGTTACCTCTTGAACTCATATAAAATATTGACAAGTTATGTGTTATTATAGAACTAACCAATGTGGGTCAAAAGATTTTTTCACACAAATATGGGATCATTGATTGGAAGTTGCCAAAGCCATTAACACTGCTCCCTCTGTCCCAAAATAGAAGTCGTTCTCGCTTCATAAAAAGTCAGCTTTTTTTTTAACTTTGACCAATTATATGTAAAAAAATATTAATACTTATAATACATAATTAGTATCATTAGATAGATCGTTGAATATACTTTCATAATGAATTTATTTGGAGATATAAATGTTACACGCATTTTCTATAAATTTAGTTAAAGTTGAGAAAGTTTGACCTGCATGCATCCCATAACGACTTTCTTTCTGGGACAGAGGGAGTAGTTGGTATGGTTGCTTTAATATCAGATTGCAAAATACGATGAACTGACACACTAGTTGCAGATAAAACAAGCACCAAACATATCCAACATTAACAAATTTCATATCTACTTATGGATCACATAGAAAAAAAAAAGGTAGCTTCAAATCGATGCCCTTTTGGTGGTTAGTAACCGCGTACTACAAACACTAATATACTTTGGTATTGATGAGATCACTTGTGAAGAAGTATCTATTTGGATTACTCTAGTCTTGAACTCTTGATGAGATCACTCGTGGAGGATGTCTATTCAAAGCGTGAAGTGTCCATTTAAAAAGACATCTTGAAGACATGTCTATTCAAAGCGATACCTATTTCATACCATATGGAGTAGTTCCGTTTTTTTTCCCAAAACTTAGTTAAGTTTGATATGCTTGACTTAGAATAGATAAAGTGTACATGCATTAGACATTTGACTTGTACTTGTTACATTATTTTTCAAAAATGGAGGGCGTATTAATCAACTAGCAGACGTGCCATGCATTAGACAAGCATTAGGCCAGCACGCGTATTGACGTTTTAAGGTCACGCAAATTAAACTGAATCACACATGTACGAACCCACAGTGAACACGCATTCGCATTACGTGCTGAGTTCTGCTCGGCAATCACATGGTGTCAATCACGCGGGACCACCCCCTCACCAAAATTTCATGTCTGACATTAGAGAGCAGAGAAACAGGATTTCCAATCCTACTTAACCTTTCCAAAACATACTGGTTCCAACTTGCAGATGAACCGGTCGTTATCATACCACTAAAACCATAGCCAAGAAAACGAACTTAAGAAGCTCATGTAAGCGCACAAGCATCTTTCATATTTATCTAAAATGAGAAATCCTGAGCTCTAATCTCAATGTGCAAAGAACATTTTATGCCTGGGAATTGATAGCGATTGTGTAGATCTCTACTGCTTGAAGTAATCCTTCAGCTTCCTCAGCCAGAGCAGGTACTCACGGCTGTCCTTGTTGATCATGTACTCGTGCAAGAAGTTTGTGGTCATGGGTGAAATGCCACGCAGCTCCAGGTACTTGTGGAATGCCCTCTGCAGGTTCTCATCAAGGTCACTGCACATACAAGAAAATGTCGATTGTCAACGCCAAAAAACTATTTGCTGAAGCATTTGAACACTCGAAGAACGAAAAATGAGTTAGCTTAGGTATTTCTTCTTACTTGAAATCAGGACCCTCATATGCAATCATGTCATGTTCATCATCCCCTGAGGGCTGTGTCACGGACAAGGAGTCGATGAGGACCTCGTCAGGATAGGCAGTGCAGGTGAATTCAAGGACCGGACCATCACCCTTGGAGATAGTGACTGTGAGAGGAACGCTGGACTGTTCGGGCTTCTGGCCTTCGTCTTCCTCATTGTCATCTCCCTCCTTGTCCTCACCCTCGTCCTCACCATCACGGTCATGATCAGGCTCATCTCCAGTGACGAGGCTGGGCATGTGAGCCACAACCTCAATCTGCTCACCCTGATATGTTCTTTTAAGGGTAACTACATTCGTCCCCTTCTCGTCGCTGATTTTGAAAGGGAAGTTATCTGGAACCTCCTCAACCTGTTTTGAAATGAACTGATGAGAGCCTAACCACAAAACAAATCTACTAAAATGAAAAGGCAGACAAATGTTCTCTACAAAAGATAATAACAGGCTGATTGAACCCCAACACCTTTGCCATCATGTGGCATTCACACAGGGTGGTTCACACATCAATCTCCAATTCATCTTTGGTTACTAGAAATCATATATGGCTGAACTAAACCACTAAGGAATTGCATTCCAAAGGCTGACTCCTCTTCTATCCTACTATGTAGCTATTAGAAATCACAAAAAAAAAAGTATCAATCAAACAAAAACAAAAGTATCATAAGCATTCTAAAGTACTCCCTCCATTCCAAATTGAAAATAGTTATTGTTTTATAGATACATAGTGTCGGGTTCATAAACCCGGGGTCCCTTGCGGACCTGCTTCCCAACAAAGGCTCAGCCCAGGCAGACAAACGCGCAACTCATGGGCCGGCCCAAGTATCTAAACAACAGGCCAGCAGGGCGATCCAATCACCGACCGGAAGGTCTGGCCGAGGAGGAGCGGCGCCCGCTTTCCGACTCCGGCCCACCTCTTCAACTGGAGCGCTCACTTTGGTCTCCAGCCCGCCTCCGGACGGCCTCTCCAACCGGAAGGCCTGGCCAAAGCAATACTTCCGACTCCGACCCCACGTCTCCGACCGGGGTATGCCAAAAACCCTGTTCACTGCTCTTCTCCGACTGACGCAATCAGAGCCGACTGGAACCAACCGACCGGGGACGCCCGCTCGGTGGGGACCCGAAAATGACGAAGAAAGTAAGGCGAGGCGCTAAGTCAAACCACGATACTCAGAACCGTGCACACCAGACACTGCAGTAAAGCAAGACTCTGCAACCTCCCCGACACAAACAAAGTGTTATAGGCGCCGACATTTTTCCTCAAAGACAGGGCGCCATTAACTCCCCTTACTGTAAGGCTCCCCACATGCCTGCGGGCATCGACAATGTTGTGGGCGCCGCAGCATTTACTGCATCGAGTGAACATGGTGAAACTCCTCACATGCATCCGAGCATCAACGATTAAGATAACAAAAACCGACATCCATCATACCCGAACAAAACGACGCAACCTCCCCGTGCATCCAACATCCAACAAAGGTGTTGTGGGCGCCTACCATAAATCTGCACTCCGCCATGGCGTGAGCAACAAGGCTTAGAAGCATACGTATTTCTCTCCTCTCACTTGTAAGGCCATCCCTTCATCTATAAAAGGGATGTGCTCTCCCAACATTCGTGTGATTCCGATTCATTAGACCGATCAAGTTCACTAGTACACAACCACAGAATCATCAGGTTCGAACCACAAGTACACGCTTGAACACTTAGCTCACAGAACCGTCAGGTTCGAACCACAAGCACACGCTTGAACACTTAGCTCATAGCGGAGCTCGTGTCGCTCTCGGCCCTTCCGACCGGACCTCTTGTACCCCCCATCTTTCTCCTTCTCGTTTGTATCCCCACTACAAACTTCAAGCACCTGGACTCAGGAATAAAGTCACCGGCCGACTCGAACTGGACGTAGGGCACGTTGACTGAACCAGTATAAACCCTGTGTCATTGAGTGCTAGGCCACCTCCGATCACCGTACGGCAAAACTACAAATATTTACTTGTTGGTCATTTTCTGCATCGACACATAGTTTTTGTTATGTATCTAGACAGAGCATATAGATAACCTAGAAAAGCCAAATGACTTACAATTTGAAAAGGAGGGAGTATTATAAATGGGCAAAGTGGAAACTAATTTATCTATTTTTATGCTCCCTTGTAACCAGAGAGTAACACAGCAGCATGGATGCTTTAGATTGAAACTACAACGCCAACCACATTGCTCATACTGATACACAACCACTCCAAGCAGTGGCAAGCATGCATCAGCTTCCTTAAACAAAAACCCAGTATAAAAACAAATTATAGTAATAAAGGGCAAAAGGCAGTTGAATCAAAAGACAACAGGCAGTCAAGGAAGTGAAGTGACAGAAAAAAAAATCTTTTATTCGGATGAGGTCCAACTGTCCACGTGTATAAAACACTACAGGATGGGTATATATTATATAGTCACTGAATAAACAAAGGCATCGAAATCAATTAAAATCAGAAGGGCATTTAAGAAGAACATATTATGTGTGTCAAAAGTATGACCAATTTGAAGATGGAAACCATCATGTCACATCCCAAAATTCTGCCTCAATGCAGAACAACTGCAGGCACTGAGTATAGTGGAAACAGGAAAACAGGATTACGCTATCAATCGCAGAATGAGCATATAGATTTGACCAAAAAATTGAAACACAACAATACTACCTAAGGTCCTCCTGTTTGGAGGATACATCAGATTCCCAATTCACAGCAGGTACAACAGAATAAATGACAGATCATCAAATAATCTACCTAACAGGCCATAAATATGCTCGATCGCGTGTCTGAATTTACAGTGACAATGGATCCGGGTGTAACAAACAAGGATTGATTTTTTACTCAAGATCGCAAAATAGATATGCACACATTATAGATATGGAAATCTGCTCGTTTACCCTATCGTGATCGTCGCAGTCCTCGGCGTACTTGATCTCGGAGTCGATGACGCTGAGTAGCTCGGCGTCGGAGCTGGGTCTCGTCGCGGGGGCCGAGGAGAATGGCATCGCGCGGGGCTTCGGCCGCGCCACGGCGGCAGCAAGGGGCCGGAGCAGGGCGGCGCTGCGGTGGGACCCCGAGGAGGCGGAGGCGCGGAGGAGGATGGGCACGGAGGAGGCCGCGGCGCGGCGGGCGGCGGCGAAGAGGGCCATGGCGAAGGAGGAGGCGGCGGCGGTGGCGGCGTATGATGCCCTACTAGGGTTTTCTGGGTTTTAGGGGTCGGGAGTCGGGACTTTTGTAAGGGCGTGAGGAGGCTTAAGAAGAAGCGGTGGTGGGACCCATCTGTCGGTTTGATCTCTAGTCTCCCATTCCATGATTTACGCCCAAGCTGTACTTCTTGGGAAACAAGATAGAACTGATGTTTAAAAAAAACATCTTAAAAAATCAGTCTTTAATTAAAAAAATCTATGAATAAATTGAAGTTTTTAGAGTCCAAAGTATGTCTGGTTTCTGTCAAGTGCCAATCAAAATAAGTCGTCACAGTTATCGTGTGTACGTGAAAATGTTTTTGAACAACGCATTTTACTGCATTTCGAAATTGTATGACCTCGAAAACCAGAAGTAGAAGTATATAGGCTCAAGTTCACCACACTATTCAAACAAAACAGATATCTTAAGCGCTCAAGCTCAGCACACTATTCAAACAAAACAGATATCTAAAGCAAGATTTAGAATGCCCTCGTTTCTGTACAACGACAGGCTCATCACACTGTCGCAGCCACCAGAATTCCACAACATACATCCAGATATTTTTTTTAAAGGAGATTACCTCTGCTTTTAAGAAAGCATATAAGAGTTTTACAGCTGGGGATACCAGTTAACACTCACCCATTACAGCAACAGCAACCCTTGCTAAACAACAAGAAAACAGGTAAAAACAACTAACGTAGACACTACATAAAGGATAACGCTCTTAAGAGCACACACCTAAGAGAACAGGAAGAGCAATGTTGCCCTGTTCGCTTGGTTTATAAGCCGTACTTTTTCAGCCAACAAACAGTATTTTTCTCACAACAAATCAACCAACAGGACTTTCAGTCATGGCTTATCAGCCAAGAGAACAGGAAGAGCACATTGCCCTGTATCGTAATACCAAATAGCCACCACTAAACATTACTGGAAATCTACTTGCTCCTGTTTTGCCAGCTGATACAGATACATTGAGGCAGATACAATTCTCCTTTTTGGAGTGCGACCAACTTCGTGTAACCGTAGTATTCCTGTAACGCTGTAACACATACTAAGGCTAGGCTACCAAAACAATTTTGCCAAATCGCGCTGCTGTTCCTCACTGCTTGACAAAATCCTTCAGCTTTGTCATCCACCGGATGTACTCCTGAGCCTGCTTAGTCACCATGTAATCATGCATATAGTTGGTAGCCGACAGTGTTACCCCCCTTTGCTCCAAGTATTTGAACAGGCCTTTCTGAACATTCACAGGGAGCTCGCTGCAATACAAACGAAACAGCAAGTGAGTGGATTAGTAGCTAGCATTTCATTATTACAGGACCCAAATGGATGCCAAAACTGATATTGCTTACGTGAACTCAGGGCCCTCATAGGGGAACTTCTCTTCTCCATCATCGTCTGTTTTCTCTACTATTAGCATATCGTCAATGGTGATCTCCTCACGAAAGGCTGTGCATGCGAACTCAAGCTTTGGGCCAGAGTCTTTGGAAACTACCACCTTAAGAGAAATGCTGCTATCCCCGGCACTCTCATCATCTTCTTCTGCTTCTTCATCATCCTTGGCAGAACTCTCATCATCACCCTCACCATCCTCATCATCAAATTCAGGGCCTCCTTCTAAATTAGGCATGCTGACAGTAACCTCAATCTTCTCGTCCTTGTAGTCCCTTCTCAAAATAACCACGCTCATACCATTTTCGTCAACTATTTCAAATGGGAAGTTGTCTGGAACAGGTTCCTGACAAAAGATGGAAATAATGAATATAGCTAAGCTAACAACCTTATATATTTGCAAAATCAAGGACTCAAAGTAGGGTGGAACCAGAAGAGTGAATTTTATGTTAAATGTCAAATGTTGCTGAAAGTAACATCTGCCCAAAGTCTTTTCAGGACTGTGCATCACCAGATAATCAGTCAACCTCAATGTCAGTTTGAACATTGCTCTCACGTGGAGCTTCAAAGTAGTTCAAAACTTGAAGCCGAATTCTCGACAGAATCAATCATTGGTCTTTGGTCCCACTAATTTTGAAGTCACAGTCCCTAAAGATCATTAGAATAATTGGGTGATTTGACGTCAGCTGAATGATTGCAGCTGTTCAGAAGAAAAATGATAAAAAAAATATGCGGGCTTCTTTTGCATTATATAATGAAGAGGCAACATGGTATCGAGCCAGTCTCATTCAAAGAAGTACCAGCAGCATGCTTTATTGGTCATGTATATGTTCATGAAACGCAGGAAAAGAAAATACCTAAGACAAGATGGTTTACTTATATAATTAGACTCTTCAGTGGATATTCATGTCAACATCCGAGAAAAAACAAATGCAAGAAAGTCAGGAATCTGGATGATTGAACACAGTGAATAACAGATGCAAGGAACAAAACAGCTCTGAACACCGACTGACTCATATAGCATAATTGCAGTATGATTTCTACTAACAGAATATAGATACCATGACTGCAGAATTTTGATACCGAGTTGTGAAGATGGAAACATTATCCATGTTAGAACACGACATTGTTTAATCCACTACCACCAAACACAAAGAGGTATTAAAATTTCCTTTCAGGAGATAAACCTCCTCCATTTGTATAGTACATAAGCCACTAGAAAACTCTAGGTGCTCTTTTTTTTTTTGAACGAACACTCAAATCCTGTATGCAAATTAGTATTGAGTGGTCAGATTACCAAAAAAAATGGCTGTTAGACCCTGTTGTGAATTGAGTTCTCTTTCCTAACACGCCAAATTATAGATGTATCTTCAAACTAGTGGTAAATTAGTAGCTAGCACGAGTATTGAGCTCAGTGAGCAGAAGGCGATAAATTCATACCTATCAATCGCAAAGACATTCATAACACATGACAAATTTCAGTAAAGACCGTCTCTCTCCATCACAGATTCGTCTCTAATACGGCTCAATACAATTCTAGTACTCGCGAAATCCCCACTACTTTGATGAGGGGAATACTGAATACATTTGCGGTTTGCCACATAATTCGAGTATTCGACAGGAATTGAACAATTCAAGTTGCAAAGCACGAGGGAGTCACAGTCACCTGCTCGTCGCTGTCGAGGTACTCCTGCGCCTCCCTGATCTCGACGTCGAGGGCTCCGTCGAGGTTCCCAGCGCCGGACCCCTTCTTCTTCTTCCCCTTAGCCTTGCTCTCCAACACCACCGGCGCCGAGTTGGGGCCCTTCGCCGCGTGCAGCGGAGCTGAGAACGGTTTCCGGGGCTGCAGGCAGACGCACGCGCCGGCGCTACGTGCTGGGGACAGGACGGAGAGGAAGAGGGTAGCGGAGGCGGCGGCTGTCGCGGGGACGAAGGCCATGGCGGTGTCGAGGTGAGTGACGGAGGAGGGGATAAGACGAGGAAGAGGGAGTAGAAGCCGAGTAGGGGTTTGCTTTGGGTTTTGGATTGGACGGCTTTATTGTTTGGCCAGAAGCAGAATGCGCACGGGCTGTCGGTTTGTGTGGCCCACACGTCAGTGAGACAGTGATAGTACAAACACGTCAGTGAGACGGTGTTTGTAAATTTGGTAGAAGAACTTTGCTCGAAAGCTAAAAAAAAATTGTTGAGAATCTTTCAAGAAACTGAACAACTTTCGTATAGTAATTTATGAGAAATCAACTTCTGAAAGTTGAGCTTTTGGTCCTTATTAAGGAAAATGATTATGGGAACCATGTATCTGTAGTTGGAATCGACGGGACGTTTCTTTCTCTTTATGTTCTTTTTCGTGTAGTGCTGCCAGCAGCTTCCATCAGGCATTCAGGCACAATCCGTCCATGCCAGTTTACTATTCAAATGATATATGCTGTGAACTTCTGATCAAGTTATGTATCGATTTGCAAAGCAGGAAAAGAGAAATTAAACAAAAAGTGCAGTCCTCAGATTAAAAGGACCAAGCAGTAGCAGAAGATCATACACAGGAGGACAAGAACCTCACAAAGCCTCGGCTAATTGATCTGATATATTGCAAATTGCTATCACAAACATGTACATATCAATAGCAGTTTCATATTCGCCGTGTCTGAGGGCCCGCAATTTGGCAAGCACCCGACCGATCACGTATATACAATGGCAGATGCAGAGGAGCCACCTTCACAAAGGCCTTTGCACGGCTGGTCCTCATCCATCCATCCCGTGCCTTTATTCCCAAGGAGCAAAGGAGGCGGAGAATTTCCAAGAAGCCAAGAACAAGAGGAAGAAGAATCAAGAAGGACTCACATACTCAACACGCAACTAAAGGAGGGAGCTCACGAGAATTCTTCTTCTTCGCACGCCTGACGCCTCGTATCGTTCCTGGTTTGGTCGAGCTCACCCGCGATCGTAGTGGCCGCGCGCCGCGGAGGAGAGGAAGCCCGGCACGTCGGCGCCGGCGCCGGCGGCGAGGCGGACGTAGTAGGGCGCTGGCGACTCCGGCGGCGACTCGTTGCGGAAGGGGTTGCCGATGGGCGTCTGCCCGCCGTTGGCGAGGTGGAGGATGGCCCGGTACAGGAACGGCAGCAGGCCCTCCATGATTCCGCTCAGTCGCCCACCAAACAACTCCAAAAGCAAGGCAACAGGCCAACGATTACTGTTCTGTTCCCCCCTGTGTTTGGTTAGCCTGGTGCAAGTGCAGTTGCGAGGGGTTTATAAAGGCGATTGATTAGCGAGACAGACATGTGCTCTGGACTTTTTGACTAATCAATTTGATCAGAGGAAGTAGTGGAGAACAACTGGATTGAATACGGCGGCAAAGGCTGGGAAAGGGAAATGGTCAATCAGAGCATCTGGAAGAAGAGGAATGGATGATGTGCCTGGACGAGCTGAAGCTGGAGCGGTCAGGAAACTGATATTTATCAGGAGGCACAGGAATACAGGATGGAGTAGTTTAGGCAGTAGCCTGGAATATATATATTTATTTATTTATTTATTTATTTATTTATTTATTTATTTGAACTTTAGCCTGGAATATTGGTCGTGGGAACAACTCAGTTGGTGGGGACAAATGATTTTTTGGGTGGCGCCTGCTGCCTGCTCCTCGCTGGTGGAAAATCCGGTGTGCTCTGGGTTTCAGATTCTGGTCTGGGGGAGAGGACAGAGGAGGAAGACCAATCCAATCCTCCATATATAAACACCACCACCAATGGGCTTCTGCTTGAAGAAATGAAAGGAGGGTCACAAAAAAGATGCATATATGTGTACATCCCATATACGCAGGATTGCAGGTTGGGGCCAAGGGACAAGTTACCTGACGTTAGGACAAATTCTAGTGATGTTTGTTATGCATCCATGCCTCTGTTCCTTTGTCCGTTAGGTGAAGCTTGCGTTTCAGACTTCACCTTTAAACTTATCATTGGGCCAATAAATTGAGGTTTAATCCGGAATTTGGTAGACCATCTTTCTCTCGTATCTGAAAGAACGGGTCAACTTGAAGCATCATCCAGCTTACTGAAAATGACATGCTACTATGTCCAGCCAGGTGCAGACAAGGAGCTAGCGGTCAAATAGCCCCCCTCCTGGATCATCAAGAGCTCAAGTACATTTCAAACTGCTCGGTGAACACCTGACACACCATGGATAGCACAGTAGTACAACAGCGTAAAGTTCTTACATATATATCCCAGCGGGCTCCAATTTGCAATCATTGGTAACACATAATTTAATTTCCAGAATGAATTTCTAGCAACAAGTGTCGAAGCCTCTCTCTCTCTCTCTCTCTCTCTACATAAGCTAACCTATTGCTGATGGCTGGCGGGCTGTTTGTGTGACGATTCCTCCACATGAAAGATGAGCAAGTGAACGGGGTAAGCAAAGATGTTGCTTACAAAACTGGTGTGACAACAATCCAAGGTGCTGTGGATGCGCATCACCTTGGCGAACTTAGGTGGAAGATCTGACAATCTGGTTTGTATTTGTTCTTGGATGTAGCCTCTTCAAATTTCTTCAGTGGCCCTTCGTTCTCTGTCAAGCCAGTCTGGACAAAGTATCGTGTCCACCATGAAGAACTCCGCAATTTTGCCTGAAGACAAACGAGGTAGATTTTGTCAGTGAAAGAATCTAATTTGCTGGTCACGACAAATCTTCACCAAAAAAGATTATGGCGTTCAGATTGCACGGTATATTCCATTATGGAGTGGAACAAACAAATACTTGGATTAGACAACCAAAACAGTATCGTACTACGGTGTGGAACCAACAAAAAAAATACAGCCATAACACAACAAAACTGCTAAAGCAAAAGGCTCTAAACAATACCCGCCATCAATATTCAATGACACTGACAGATTTGGCAACATGTGTATCAAATTACGTCATAACACACCCTTAGTCAATATAATAGATCTAATCTAATTTTGAGATGCCAAACATCCACACAGAAATATGTCATGTAAACAATATTACTAGAGCAGTAATTTCTAGACCATCAGTGTTTATACAATGTTGCTGTATCATGAACAGGAAATGCGTAGAATAATAAGTTTGGCTTAGTAAATTGGACATCTTGTAGTTAAGTCATATGCAAAATAAATTTGCATGCTATCAATATAAACCATATATGCATACCGGTCTTCCAAATTTTGGTAGTTCTGAGACCTTAGCTTTTTGCTGACCTGGATTGCCTGTAAAGAAGAAATGAAACAAACATTTCTCAGATGATCTAAGCCATCCACGTATACCATAAAAAGTTATGTTTAAACATTTGGTAAATAATGGTATAAAGAGAACAGGAGTAGAGCATTATTCAGGGCCTAGGTGGATTGCCAACTTTGAATGACTACTCAAAAAGGAATATAGATCTGTTTGAGCAGAAAAGTTTCAACTCCAGTACCCAGCACAAGAGTTCAATCATGTACCTAAACTACCTACTCCAGAGACAACACATTAAAAGTTGATAGCACTTTGAACTCCAAGACGATAGTATCATCTGAGGTTGCACTACCCCAGATTTAAATCTGTCATCTTAAGATAGAAACACATACTACTTTTAAGGTTCATCCTTGTATCATCTGATGTTGCACTATCACATATTTAAATCTGTTTATCTTATGATAGAAACACACACTTCTTTAAGGTTCATCCATATGATTTCTTTTTATTGTTTCCACTTGGAAAGAAAATCCAACCAGTTCAAGACACACAGCTAAGATACATAGAGTTCTTAATACAGTTAAAGAAAGACACATGGACAAACAACAGTGAGAATATTTCAAGTAAAAGATGGTTTGTTTCAAATATAACAGCAACCAAAGGAATATAAACAATCATAGTATATTACTATTTGCTGATAGTAGAGAAGAACACATGGTCACTTATTAAAAAAGAAAAAAGCTCTTTTACCATACAAAGGCACAACAATTGGTATGCATAGGTCAAATGAGAGTTTTCCCAGAAAAAGAGAAGGCAGTATATATTTCAAGAAAAAACACGTACCAGCAAAAATAACAAGGCCATCTGTGGAAACCCTTGCTAAATCCGGAAGCGTTTTGTTCAGATACCTTGGGGTCAGATAATCTAAAGCATCTGACACAACAACAAGATTAAAAGAATCTGGACGGTATGGAAGGGGGGACTTAATATCAGACATACGGACAAAGCCCTTGCGCACGAGGCTTTTGCAAGTACTGTCAGTATCCTCCAAATCATAAGGCTCCACTCCCCAAGCTTCAACCTTTCCTTCTTTCAACAAATTAGAAACTACTGTACAACTATCAGGGCCTACATGGAGAACCTTTTGCATGGCATTGCCATATGCCTTTTTAAGATATGGGAGCGCCCGCATAACTTCTGATGTGCAAGAACCTGGATGCAGATGTAGATGGAAAGTCTGAGATTAAGAGGAGAACAAAACTTCCCTCATCAACATGTTGGGAAAGAAAAATGTGAATATGACTAAAGAAATTAAATAATCATTCTACTATCCACTGCAATATTGGCCAACTCAACTTGCAGTTTGACTTGTATTGCGCTCATAATGACCAATTTCACAAATCATGTACCTAATGTACAAAATTAGCTACTAACCTTCCTGATCATATGGGAGTAAAGAAAAGGAAAAGGGGTAAAAAAGAAATCCATTTTGTTTAGTTACCAAGAATCAGAGAACCAAATCATAGTGGCATAGCAGAGTTTCAGTGTTCGGGGATCCTATTTATCACGAGGTTAATTACTGTTACTAGTACTAAATGCACTACTAGATATTTCATAGCCTACTGAAGAATACCAAACATCAAATCAGCTACAAAGGAAATAGGACAACTGCAGCAAAAGCGGAGGCAGAACAACATAAATGCAGGGTCTCAATAGGATATTGCTCTTAAGGATAAGCATACAGATTGTGTCTGAGATTTTAGGGTAACTGCACTACTAAACAATGCTAAGATAACAATAACATAGCCACGAGTAAGATATATTGTGATATTGAAGTAGCATCTTAATTGCAAACTGCAATAACAAGTGCAACTTTGTAATCATAGAGAACAAAAAAAAAATTCAGGCTGCAAGTCTAATGACACATTAAAGAGCAAGTTTAAGGGAGAAATCAGAATTTTGGATGACTAAAGAAATAACATCAGCAGGTGATTTGCCACCCAAAAAGAGAAGTGGAAGGGAGGAAAAAAGTGTACCTTCAGACCTGGTCACAGCCTCTCTGCTTGTAACAGTTACACCTGGCCATTAAAGAAAGAGTCAAACAAGAAGTACAAGGAAACACTGATTGGTTTGATTTTGGTCTTTTGGGACAAACCACAGTACATGCCAATAAGATAGAACAATAATAATTGATAGGTGCCAATTCAATACATACTGACTTTAAGTCAGTTGGCTTTCGAAGTTGCATGATAATACATATGCATTATTACTTTTCAACAAGCAACTAGCAATTGTGCATGGTTGGTGTGTCCCCACTCTCAAATGTTGTACTGACTACAAAACAGTTGATGAATTTGATTTAAAAAGTCGTAAACTCTTTCGCCACCCTACAGCAAATAATTTGATTTGTACATGTCACAAGCCATGTTCTATCGCCAAGTAGCAAGCACAGACTTTTCGTAATCCACCATGTTCTATCGCCAAGTAGCAAGCACAGACTTTTCGTAATCCAACATTAATCAGGAAAATTGAGTGAGCAAGTCTAACCCAGAATCTTTAACCGACCTGAGCCGCTGTTGAAGTAGGCGATGAGAAGAATGACACCCTGCATGAGCACATAACACCATCAACATCCGGAAAATTACAACTAACAGCAGTAGCAGTTGGGTAACAGACAGAGAGCTAGAATTACCAGGACGACGAGGGCAATGGTGAGCACGGGAGGCGAGCGTGACTTGGGGTGGAACAGGCCGCCGACGGACGGCAAGGCCCCGTCCGACACCCGCCGGCTCGGGTTCACCGACCTTCTGGACATCCTCCCCTCCCTCTCTCCCTAACTCGACCACCCAAGCTCTCTGTCTCTCTCCCCCTCGATCACCTGGTCACATGAACACAGCGTTGCTCAGATTATATTAGCCAAAATAAAATGGGAAATCTCCCACAATGCCGCGGCACGGGATGCATCCGCAGCCCGCAAGGCTCCGCGTCGGCCGTAGATCGGAATCCCTTCTCGCGCGAGGTGGCGGCGGCGGCGGTACCTCTGGCAATGGAGGCGGCGCGGCGGTGGCGGTCGGAGACGAGGAGGAGGAACCCGGAGCTAGGGTTGCCGGATTGGGGGTGGATCTGAGGCGCGGAGGTGGGGCGGAGTGAGGCGGGGCGGAGTGGGGTGTGGGGGGAGGGGCAGCCAGCGGGTGGCGATCCGGCGTGATAGGGACGGCACGGCACGGGCACGGGAATGGGATTAACTTCGCTGAAGCTCACACGCAGGGGAATAAAGAGCGTCGTGCTGTATGCGACGGTGGCAGATCAGCACGCCATTAGCGACCGAGATGAGGATTAGTGGAGCGCGGCCCGAATTCCGAGGGTGGGGTGGAGGAGATTTTGTTCGGGGATGTTGGTCGTCGACGCGTCGTGCCTAGGGGACACTGACTGGTGGGCCCCACGGTCTTTTCTATTTCCTTTTTGTGTGTTGGTTGCCGGCTCGGGTGGGTTTTGGCCCAACCCCATCGTGCTCGTCCAGAATGTTGACTGCTCGTCACTGGTCAACGCACAAATGGCCATTCGTTAGCCTGCCATGGCATCATTGATCAGGTTTCAGTGTACCTAACACTTACATAGTTGCGGACTGAAAAATAAATAAAAAAGTTGCAAGCTAAAAAAGAAAGAAAGAGAAAAGAAACGCAGCTGAGTCAACATACCAATGTGCTAGCGTAGAAGTCTCAAAGCCCTGCGTTAATGCATGAAATATGACCAACTAAAAAAATCACCCATCTAATCTAAATCCAACCACCAATACTCATCCTCAACCATGGGATCGAATATCTTCTCCCTTATTGCACCTGTAGGATAGGAAATGTGTTTAACATTTGAGTTTAGATTCTAAACAATTGCATTTAGCTAGTAGTAACAGCATTGTATTTGGGTGATTAATGATTGATCGTCTGATAACCTTTCTAAAGTATATGGCCATATGTGTTTTTTTTTTTGCACGCTTTTGGTTTAGGTCGTGTATATTATTCGCCCCAGCTAAAAAAAGTTCTGGCTCCACCACTAGTTTGGACCTAGAATGACACATCAAACAAGAATGGCATGTTTGGATTGACACATGTATTGATTCGGAATCATTCGAACCTATATCCAAACCTAGAATGGCCATTTTGTTTGCATCATGAGTTGATATGCCCTTCTACTTGAATGCTTGGCTAAAAAATTACTCCATCTATAAGCTCTCCTGTTTAAATGCACTAGAACTTATTTTAACAATTTTTTAGCTTATTAGCAATTAGCTCTTGTATTCAAATATGATCAAGTATGTATCACTAAGCTTTCAAACCGTCCGCTGGTTTGGTGATGTCAAAAGACCACTGGAGTACACGTTGGCGGCGTAAGTATAGATTTGTAAAATCCATAAAAATATAAATTCATAAAGAAACGGAAAATATATAGAAATAAAAAAATTGAAACGGAGCACCGTTAACCTACTGCGAGAATGAGACCGAGAACAGTGCATGATTGCGTGACCAAAAGCAACGATCGCGTGACATCACGTGAGGGTGAGGAGACGAAAGCAAATCGCGCACGACGGCACGAGAGCGTGGATAGAATCGTGCGGCCCAGCCCACTGCGGTTTCCACTTCAACAAGAACGGCTCGATCCGTCGTGCGTTCAAAAAAAATTAGAGTTTTTTTAATTCATGCCATTACAATTTTTTTAGTTTTGAAAGACGTGTTACAATTCATAACATCTGACATTATAATTTTATCTTTTCCACATCCATACCATTATCTACTACTGTCGCATACAAAGGCCCACTGGGACGTATGCATACAGCAAGGCATGAGGACGTAAAGTCCCAGTCTCCTCCGTCAGATCTTGACCGCCCGCACCCGTCCCACCCGGTCCAAGTGCCCCGCCGGGTGCCATGGCGGGCAGCAACGATGACAGCAGCTTCAGCGTCGTCCGCCTCCGCGTGTTCTTCGGCGGACCGTACCTCCTCCGCCTCGCCGCGGACGCCGCGACCGTGCGCCTCATCCTGCGCCGGCAGCCGCACCTGCTGCCGTTCCTGGAGCACCAGGCCACGGCGCCCGACGCCGAGCAGTGGGCGCCGCCGCTGCACGCGGCGGCCGCGACAGGGGGACTGCGGGGAGGTGAGGCGGCTGCCGGAGGCGCTGGCTGAGGGTGACTGCGAAGGGAGGACGGTTCTGCACGCAGCGGCCGCGGCCGGCGAGGCGGAGGCGATGGCGGTGCTGGTGGACATGGGCGCCGTCCACTAGCCGCGGCACGGAGCTGCCGGCGCGCCGCTGCAGCGCGGCCTCCGCACACCAGCGCGGCGACCGCGAAGCAGAAGCAGTTGTCGCACCCGACCACCACCGCGGGCATCCGCAGCGTCTTCTTCCAAGACGGATTCGTCAGCGGGTGCGACGCGTCGCTGCTGGTGGCCCGTGGCCCCAACGCGTTTGCGCGGTCGGACGTCGAGCTCTCGCTCGCCAACTCCATCCGGCGCAACCGCCAACGACTCCGTGTGCTCCACGGCTCCACCGAGCCCTCCCTCTCCCCGACGTGTTCTCCACCAGCGGGGCAGAGTCCCCGACGCGCACCCTGTCGAACACGAACGGGGCCTGCCCAGCCGCCGCGCGCCGACTCCGGCCCAAACATTCCAAGTCCAGCAGCTTATCCGTTCGTATGCAGGAGGCAACAACGCCGACACGAGCAGAGAAGGGCCACGTTCCTTGAGCTGTTGAGGATCCGCTGCCATCCTCCAGGCCTATCACCAGCCATGATAGCCCGTGCTATTCCCATGGCCACGGAAGAAAAGCAAGAAACGCAAGAACACCTCCATCCTGGGCGACACACACATGCTCCACTCGGCGAGCTTGGCATCACCTTGGTGTGCTGCTGCCATTCTCCGAAGCAGAGGTCGTGAGAAGAAGCGAGCGCCGATGGACACCGCCGCGACGGAGTGGTCGGACCGCGAGTGCGCCAGCACCGTACCGTGTGCCCCTGTGCCACCATTGTGCGCGCCAGGAGCTCACGCTCGCCTACCACCCGGACATCGGTGGCGCGGCGCTGGGGCTCAACGGCCGCGCCCGCAGAGGTCACGCTCCGCCGGGTCGCCGGCGACGCATACGCGAGCACCGACCGCGTCGCCACTGCCGAGGGCGCGCGCTTCGAGGTGCGCAGCGCGGCCGCCGGGGAGGAGGAGGTCACTACGGAGGGCGTCTTCTCCGCCTGGCCGTGGCGAGGAGGCGCGATTCTTCCCGTCCGAACGGCCGGACGGAAGCCGTGCGCCGAACGGCTCCCGCGCGATGCGCTTGCACGGCAGCGAGGCCCACGCGCGGCCCACATGCATGCACGAGCGAGCCAGCGCTGCCCGCTGGGCACGGGATTTCCGGCAGCGTCAGGTAGGTACGTAGGTATGTTTTCTGCCTTTTTTCTTTTCTTTTCTTTTTCTTTTATTTTTTTATTTTTCTTTTCTTTTCTTTTCTTTTTCCTTTTAAATTTTCATTTCGTGCTTCATTTTTATTTATATTTATTTTTTTATTATTCTTTTCATTTTTCATTTTTTATGTTTCTTTTATTTTCTTTTTCTTTTCTTTGTTTTCATGTTCTTATTAATTTTTCATTTTCTTTCTTCAATTTATTTTTTATTTTTGTTTCTTTTTTCGTTTCATGTGATTTTTCTTTTCTTTTTTTTTTATTTCTACTTTTCTATTTTTACCTTACTTAATTATTTTTTATGTTTAGTTTTTTATTTTCTATATTCCATGAGATGCTGTGTTAATATAGGATAGATGTGATGTTCACGTGGTATATAATGTCATGTTGTGCGATGTTTTTTGTGATGTTCATATAGTATACATGTGATGTTCTATGATATTTTTTGTGATGTTCACGTGTTATAAATGTGATATTCTATGCTGTTTTTTTATATGTTCACGTGGTATAGATGTAATGTTCTAGATGTATTTTGTAATGTTCATGTAGTATACATGTGATGTTCGCGTAGTATATATATAATGATGTTCTATGATGTTTTCTGCGATGTTCATTTAGTATAAGCAACACTTGAAGCATGTTTCAGTCGAGAAGTAAATATAATGTGTAAAGTGAAACATGAGAATCTTGTCAAGATACTTCCTGGTCTCAATGATATGTTTGTGTGGCTACATAGATTGTCATTTTTTGGGACCTTCTCGCAACTGTTTATGCACTCATGCAGTTCATTGGAGCTGGGAAGGGACCATTGATGGTGATTGTTATTGAGCTACTACCAGGAATGTCACTGAAAACTTATCTAAACAGCATTTGGTCTAGCCAACTAGATACACACATCACACACTGCAATTAACTGTGCAATTGACTGTTTACATGCCAATGGCATAATATATAGAAACTTAAAACTTAGTAAGGATGCTCTTCTAACATTGTACACTATGAACCTGTGATCCTTTAGCACAGATAAATTTCTTTTATGTCGGTAAAACAGAAGTTACATTGCATAGCATGCTGATATTTTATTCCCATTTTCTTCAGTATTATTGAATCATTTTGATAGTTGGATTTGTTCCCAGTTTTAAATGCGTATTGACAGTTGAGTGGTGGAGATGGACCTAAGTGCAAGACACAACTTAAGCTAAGAACTGGACATGCAAAATAGACTCCACGAGTCGGCACATGCACACTCATAAAACTAAAAGTACGCTGTGGCAAGGGACGGCGAAATCTGATAGCTAGAGGGTACATGGTGGCTGACATCTTTTTAATCTTTCAACAAGCTGCAGATTAATTTTGTCAAAAAATAGAGCTTAGAATATATTTTTTTTGGAATTGTAAATAGTAGGAATGCAATATAATCTGTTGTACGATCCGTGTGTTTTTAGTATAAAAGTTATGTTGTCCCGTAGCAACGCGCGGGCATGCTATCTAGTATAGTACAGATATGATGTTCTATGATGTTTTTTTATGTTCACGTGGTATATAATGTCATGTTCTGCGATGTTTTTTGTGATGTTCATATAGTATACATGTGATGTTTTATGATATTTTTTTTGATGTTCACGTGTTATAAATGTGATATTCTATGATATTTTTTTATATGTTCACGTGGTATAGATGTGATGTTCTAGATGTATTTTGTGATGTTCGTGTAGTATACATGTGATGTTCGCGTCGTATATATATAATGATGTTCAATGATGTTTTCTACGATGTTCAAGTTATATACATTTGTTGTTCTATTATGTTTTTTGTGATGTTCTATGATATATTTACTGATGTTCATTTAGTATATATGTAATGTTCTATAGTATATTTTTAGGATGTTTGAAAAGTACCCATGTGATATTCTTTTAAATTTTTCTCTATTACGTGTTTTTTCCTTATGCTTTGCTCTAGATTTCATTATTTTTTATTTATGTTATGTATTTATTATATATATATATTATAATATTAATTTTATGAACCTAAACTGAGAACATTCTTTTTATAAGGACGGAACATTGTTCTTTGAACGTAGAACATCGTCTCTACTCAATAATAAAAAAATGTTCTATCTTCATAAGACAAATGTTTGTTAAAGAAATTATCTAAATATATTCATGCGGTATCTTGTTTTGAATGATTTATTGTAAAAAACCTGACGGTGTAATCGGAATTTAATTTGGATGGTTGATTTATGAGTTATAACTTTTTTAATTTGTTGAAAGTCATTGCATGCGACGTGGGTGAAGTGGTCCCTACATGATGGCTAACTTGCGCGCGCTAGCTGTGTGCCCGAAAATTATTCCCGTGCTCCTTGAGCGGGAATTCATTTAGGGCACGTTCGTTTTGCAGGGAATGGAGTGCCGGAACCAATCCGAGCTGGAACGTAGCTGTATTTTATACGGCCAACCATCACCGGGAAGCGTTCGAAATCAGCCTAAACGAATGGGCCCTTAGGCCATGTTCATTTCTCACGGAATGGAGGCCTGGAATGATTCCGGTCAGGAATATTGTATAAATATTGTGTAAATTTATACTATTTTTGATCATCTGGAATGAATCCATCGGGAACGAGGGCTAAACGATCGAGCCCTTAGCCGGAACCATCGGACAGAGGCTGCTGTCCGCCCAATTGAACACTAGCACCTCCCGGGAGGAGGCTGACGCTGAGGCACACGGCCCAGCCTAAACGATCGAGCCCTTAGCCGGAACCATCGGACAGAGGAACCATCAGGATGAGGTGCTGTCCGCCCAATTGAACACTAGCACCTCCCGGGAGGAGGCCGACGCCGAGGCACACTAGCAAACCCTAAACGATCGAGCCCTTAGCCGGAACCATCGGACAGAGGCTGCTGTCCGCCCAATTGAACACTAGCACCTCCCGGGAGGAGGCTGACGCTGAGGCACACGGCCCAGCCTAAACGATCGAGCCCTTAGCCGGAACCATCGGACAGAGGAACCATCGGACAGAGGCTGCTGTCCGCCCAATTGAACACTAGCACCTCCCGGGAGGAGGCTGACGCTGAGGCACACGGCCCAGCCTAAACGATCGAGCCCTTAGCCGGAACCATCGGACAGAGGCTGCTGTCCGCCCAATTGAACACTAGCACCTCCCGGGAGGAGGCTGACGCTGAGGCACACGGCCCAGCCCACATGCCCGTCTGCTTGCCCACCTCGCTATTTCTAACGGAGTAGGCGGAGACTTAACGCCCGAGTTCTCATATGTATACGTGTCTAAGTCCATATACACGAAAGACGTATAAAATGGCATGGATGAAGGAGTGATGTAATTATAATGACAAATCTCTAAATAAATGAATTGCATAGGCATATCTCTGTAAATTGTAATGGCATGAGTAAAAAAAAGAAACTCAAAATTTTAATGTGCGTTCAAAGATCGGCTCGATCCCCAATCTGATTCATCGTCCCGACTGACGGGGCTCCGCCTCCTCACGCGCCGCCTCCGGACGCATTACCGGTGTCGGCGACGAGCCTCGGCCTCGAGGTTTCTTCTATCAACCTCGTATTCCCGAGACCGGGCACCAGGTCAGCTCCGTACCCGTCCTTCACCTCCCACGGCCGCCGGCGTCTCCATCCCGCCCACTCTAACCTGTCGGCCTCTCTTGTACCCACCGCCATACCCGCCCACCACCCTCCCCGGCGCCGCTACTGCCGTTCTACCTGGACCATCAGAGATCTGTGATTTGGGACGCGGCTGGTAAGTCGCGGATCCTGCTCATGGTCATGGCCTTATTACCTTAGTATATTGTTTACAAGACTAGCATGATCGAATCGTTGGGTCACGATTCTACAACATCTTCTCTGTTTGGCATTTGTGCTAATCGCATATTGTAAATAGTGATCTATACGAATTATTCATTGGACGAAGTTGCAGCTTATATTGATCATGGATTGAGAGCTCCTAGCACAGTAGCAGCTGCTACAGCACAGATAACTGCCAATTTGTAGTGTTCAGATTTTGCTGAACAACGGGCACAACATCCCGACTCCTTATTTCTTTCTTATTCATATATATATTCCTTCACTTTGCAGATACGCGCAGTTCTTCGGGGGAGTGGGAGCTCCTCATACTAATCAGAATCATCTCAAATATGTTGGAAGAAGTGGAGTGCACGCTGAACCAGCTACCAGAAGAGGTGCTTGCCAATATCCTCCGACGTCTTACGCCACCCTTCCTTGCCACATCCCGCTGTGTTTGCAAGCCCTGGTGCACAATCATTGACACCCGCCGGTTAGTGCGTGCAGACCTCCTCCCTCTCTCGTTGGCTGGCATCTTCATCAACTTCCATGACCTAGTTTTGTCGGAATTCTTCTCGCGTTCCTCAACAGGCCCAACAATATCTGACTGTTTGCCACCCAGAGATATCTTTAGCACTTAGTGACCACTGCAATGGGCTTCTCTTGCTTGACGACTATGTGGTTAACCCAGCGACATATCAGTGGGTGCAATTGCCCCCATTCCCAAGCCCACATTTGGGTACAGAAAACTTTTTTCACAAGGAGGACCTAGTCTTTGATCCTGCAGTGTCACCACACTATGAGTTTTTTCTGATCCCATTTGCTTGTGCCAGATCTGGCCGGATCAAATTAAACCCTGCAACAGAGGAATTAGAGTGGCCACTGTCGCCATGCATACTTCATGTGTTCTCATCAAGGACTAAGAAATGGGAGGAGAGGTCGTTTGTTCGAGAAGGGGAGGCTGCAGGGACTGTGGCTGACATGCGATTGGATGGTTCATATAGTAATCATTATCACAACTCTGTCTATTGGCGGGGAGCACTTTATGTCCATTGCCAATCCAACTTTGTTATGAGGTAGGTGCCCACCCCACTTAAATATTTGAACTTCTCCTTTCATGAAATGTTGTTTAATGCTACTATCGTTGATTCAGATTTCTCAGTTATATTTGATTCTTGCAGATTATCACTGTTAGATGGTAAGTACCAGGTAATTAAACCACCTCTAGTAGATACTGAGCTGATACCAGATCCAAATCTTTATCTGGGAAAATCACAGAAGGGACTGTATGTGCGTTGGATGATCATTATGTTTATATTCTGGATGAATCATATGGCAAGATGGAGTGGTTTTTGAAGACTAGTATTTGCTTGAGATATAGGAAAACTGATAGACCTAAACCTTGGACCTTACAAGATATTAAATGTATTGGATCACGCGATGAGTATCAGGATGGTAATGATAAAGTGATAATGGAGGAAAATTTTGAATTTGGCTGTGACTACAAAAATGTTGTTGAAACCAAAGAATGGGACTCAGACGATGATAATGTTATTCACACCGAAGGTTGGGGCAATAGGGACATTGGTGGCTATATTATTACTCTCCTCGGATTTTACCCTTACAGGGAGGTTGTCTTCGAGTGAAGGATTGAGCCGAGGACTGGCCTATCACTTAAATACCTCAAAGGTTCAAGAATTAGGCAACCTCTCCCCAACACATTATGGAACGTTTATGGGTATCCAACCATTCATAGAAGGGTCTTTTCCATACACACCTTGGATGGGGGAGTTTCCAGAGGAAAATTAATTTGGAAGTTCATCTTTACAATATAATAATGTTTTATAAGGCATTGTTATTTAGGACAAGGCATGAAGTACCTTTTCAGAGCCCACAACGGCAAGCACTTGATTTGCAGAGCTATTGTTTATTTGGCATGAGAATTCTGAAGGCTGGAATTTACCTGCAAAATGACGGTAAGTTGCCATTACATCTGGAAGCTATCATGTTTCTTGTTTCCCATGTTTGCTTGATTTCCACACGTGCTTAATGGTTTACCTCTTAACAATCTATATTCCAAAGGATTTTCTGTGCTGAGTGTCATGTCAGGACTGAGGAGGTTCGTCCTCCACAATAAGCTGAACGTCACAATATGCAATTCCCAACCGTATAGAAGTCCTATAATCGGGTTTATTTTCAAGTGTGCTGTAAGATGGTGATGATTTATCTGTTACACTTGAGTTTGATGAGCCTAAAGCAATGCTCACAACAAAATGCAGACTGGGGAAAAATGAATTGAATGAAATCAAAAGGTTTTCTGCACACAAATCCATGAACAAAATCACCTGAATTAAACAGCAAGTTGCCTGAATTAGACATTGATATTACCAGGGGATCACAGATAGGAAATTCAGACGACCGTAGGCTGTTTAAGCCCCTATATGCCACAACACATCAAGCTGTGACCAAATGGAGGGCGGTCCATTGGTGACCATGCTTAAATACTCAACCATACCATAAATCATCCAACCTATTGGATCAGCTCCATCGCGCTGAACAGCCTGTCCCATCAAAATCGGATCAAATCCACACTGTCTCCCTTTGCCTCAATTGCAATTCGACACTCATGTCCGTGTAATGCAAATCTAATGAAATTCACAAAGCTTATCCTTACAACATTGCATTTTCATATTCTGAGCTCATGGCCTTGTCCCTAGCCAACATGCTTTCATCTCACCATCTCTGCATTGACAAAATGGCATGATGATCCAGGTCTCATCTTTCATCAGGCACTAAACACTTCATGAGATACTTCAGGCCCCATATCACTTCCATCACAGCATCATTAGACAGGTAGTATACTCCCTAAAAGTATACACAGCAGAACTAGTGCTGAAATTCTTCACAGGCGTAAGCAAATTAGCAAACAGGGGAAGTAACACTGACCAATCTTGCTTAAAGGATTGCTTTATTGTGAGACCCAGCTCATGGGCCGAATTGCGGTTGGGCCGGGCTTCTGTAGCTGTAGTGGTGAATTGGGCTGGGCTGAATTCGGGTTACCGTAGAGCCGAGTTACTGTAGTTGCGGAAATTCTGAGTTCGCCGAACCAGCTTAAATAGCCAGGCCAAGGACGCATAGTAACCTTCGGTTAACCGCTTTTGTGCCGGTTAAGGATGAAAGCGCAAGCGGGTTGCTTCGTAGGTGGGGGGCCCACCCCTCGGCAGAGTGGGCCTAGGCTGTGTGCCGCCTGGGGTGTTACATTTATGTTCAGCCTTTCCAGCAGCCAGTGTTGCAATCCAGAATAGGTTGATGTGCAGCAAATCTATTTTATTTTATTTTATTTGGTAGTGTTGGTAGTAGTACCATGTCAGGCCTCAATCATGGTAGGTACAGGTTGCTATTAGTGTGGCACAATGCAATACCATCACAGGTTTAAACCCATTCATGCCAATTGATTCTTTAGAAACCTTTGCATCGTTGGTGTGCATTTTAGGAGAAAAGTTTTTGGGTGTGCATGCATGCTTGTAATAGCATCACACTACATGGTTTTCCAAGCAACCTAAACCCAGGAGGCCTGGTTTTGAGTTTTGAATCCCCACGGGAGTGGATTTTGGGGACAGGGCTAAAGAAAAACCATCGCCTCTATGCGGTGAAATACGCAGCTGCAGGCGTCCTGGCAGTCAGATCTGATCTGGATTGGGTTATTTCCATTACATCTTGACACAAATACATAGAGCCAAGGGGAGAAGATAGCACAATGCTGGCATTTTTTTGTGTGTGGGTAGGCAATGTTTATCCTGCAAATGGATAGCATTTTGGTTACATGTTGAATTCAAATGTAATATATATTTATAAGTATCGTGTTGTAACTTCGATGACCCAGTCCTTATAAGGAACATGAGCTCATGTTTCAGCTAGCTTTAGATTGAGCTCACCTGGTTCGTTTCTACATGCTAAGTTCAAGTATGATAGTTATTTATATATCCTTATTACCAAGCATCAACATTAACGTTTCATCATGCTATAATGTGCCGACTCATCAAGGAACTGACTAACGAACTCATTTTTCAGGATACCAGTTAGGAAGCTCAGTGTCCTACACTACTAGGCAAGCTGCTGAAACTCACTACATTATAATGTAATTGACCTATCTTTGTTTACGATGAATGATTGCATGCTTTGGCCAGCTCTGTGCTTCGGCATCACTACATACCTGTGTGTACAGACAGCATTGGTTTGCTGCCTGCCGTCAAAAGGCTTTTAATTTGGTTTTTGTTGCTTGAACTGCACAATTCAGTATGTTTTACACCAATGCTGACAGCACAGGACATCCAGCTCCTTCAATAGCGAACGTTCCATCCTAGTTTATGTCTCTTTTTTTTTAAGGAACATCTCTTTTTAGTTTTTGCGCACAAGAGAGCACAGTGCATTGACGGACAGTGCGACAGTGTAATATCTGCAGGTTGAGAGTCCTCGGTTAAACAGAAAGGAAAAGAAACACAGCTTCGTCACTCGTCAGTGTACCAATGTGGCAATGTTTGAAACTTGAGAGTCCTCCATTAATCCATATATGACCAAGTAAAAAGTCACTTGCACATGAAGAGCAACGCGCACTAATATTGTTCGTTGATTTACACGTAATTACCAGCTATTATTTCTGGGCATCCTCCTCCTCTATAACTCAATTTACATTTCTCACGTGCTTACAGCATCAGATACAAGTTTATTAAGGCGTTGAATAAGTTACAAGTCTCACAAGTCACAGGGTCTTCCATCGGTCAGCTGCAGAACAGAGTCTCCTTTGTGGGGTTCCCAGTGGTTGAATTCACTCTGGTCGACAAACGATGAGATCAGCAAACATATTACTAGACTAGACTGAATGGCCATCAATGCGTTGTGTTCTTACCCGTCAGCGATTTTGCAGAGGTATTCCCGTTGATCGTCTCGCAGCGGGACATCGGTAAAATCTGCAAGTTGAAGAAAATGGTCCACGGTGACACTATTGCTTATGTGATCATGTCAAAGAACAAGCCATTTATCCAGTTTGAGCTTTGCCTACTTTTGCTCATTTTGATTTTTCAAAGGGGAATGGAAATTTGCTTGTGCCCGCTCTACTGATGACAGCCTTTTGAATTGGGCAAGGTACAGTTGCTGAGTTGCAGCAATAGATGACTATCAGAGTGATATGCAGAAATCACTTGCCTGCCCCAGTTATGTTGGCACCTTTGAAAGAAGTGTTTCCGGTGACAAGTGCCCCTTCCAAGTTGGCATTTGATAAGTTTGTCTGCAAAATGAAATGAGGCAAAAACCAATCACAAGCGTGTTGAAAAACGAATCACCATGGTGATATCTATGGACGGATAGTTCAATCAGAGGTGACAAACATGAAGGGATTTGTTTCATTAAAAAATAAGCAAAGAGAGGAGCATGAACAAAATGGGCCCAAATATAAATGTCTGATTTAACGATGGCTGAACGTTTTGGATGGGGATGTGGTACTTGTCAGGCATTTTGAACAGAACAATATACGGGCGCGTGCACAAGCGTGCTTGAATCTTGATGAAACTGAACCGAAATAATGCGCAACGCTGATCATTTTACCTTTGTTAAATTCGCCAGCGAGAAATCGGCGCCTCTAAGATCAGCATCAGAGAGATCAGCGCCTGAATTCGTCGGCCGGCAAACATATCCAGTAAGCCACACAGCGAAAACCAAGTCACAAATTTTCCACTGAGAAGGAAGAACTGGAATCATCGAAGATAGCGAGCGAATTCAATACTTGTGAGGTCTGCATCGAAGAAGCTCGCGCCGAGCAGGTTCGCGCCTTTGAAGTTCGCCTGCCTCAGTATAGACTGCATCATCAAGAACATCAAGAATCAACAAGCATGAGCAAGACCCTGACAAACGGCATGCCATTTCTGCATATACATAGAACTTCGAAGATTTGACGCGTTTCTAGCTAGGTTTCTTCAAATCGAGAAGCACGCGATATCAATTGTGAGAAAATTGCACAACACAAGGAAAGGTGAGATGTCCAGTACCGTCTTGAAGTCCTGCTTGACGAGCGTCAGGCCGCTGAAGTCCTTGCCGGTGAGGTCCTGCCCCCGCGTCACCTGCTTCCCGTACGGGCCTCCTCCCTGCAGCCACGCCACGCGCGCGCGAGCGCGCCGTCAACACCGACACCCCGATTTCGCAAGAACTTGGGAGGACAGCAGAAAGAAGGCAGGGTAAGTAAACGGCGGGCGGACAATGAATGCCACGGCGGGGTCGGCGACGAGGAGCGAGGCGGCGACGAGCGCGGCGGCGCCGGCATTGGCGAGGTGGAAGTGCGCCGAGGAGCGCGCGGGCGTCGACGTCGACGGTGGCGCGGCGCCAGCGAGGGCGGGTGGAGACGGGCCGAGCTTGAGGGCGCCCAGGATGGCCATGGCCGTGAGTTTCAGTTTCAGAGCTGCTCGTTTCTGTTTCCGTCTAGGCTACATACGTGGCTGTGTGTTTATCCGTCTTATCTGTTTTGTGGTGCTGCTTGGGATTGGCCAGTCAGCCGAATCCACGATGCCTTCTTCCATTCCTTATTTCCTTATGTTTTGTTGGACAGAAAAGCAAGATCAAAATTCCCTCATCATGGCGTTTGGATTCAGGGACTAAA